ATAGAGGGTGAGCCTTCTCAATGTGGTGCTCACCGTGCTCTATAGCTTAGAGGCCACCAGAAACTAGGCAGAGCAGTGCTCTGTGGGTAATGAGGCCAGACCGGGGCGCTAGAACAGGGGGGCCCTGATCTCCTATCCTTGAGCGATGGGGATGGGGGGGCCAAGAGGAACAAGCAGGGGCTGGGGTCCTGGGGGGGGAGAGCTGGTGAGATGCTGGGGCCTTGGGGAGAAGGGGCCAGGGTTCAGGCACCGGTGCGGGGACCCCCCGACTTTTAGGGACCTTCTGCCATTCCTGGGCCAGAGGTGTGTGTGTGTGTGGGGGGGCATTAGCAAACATGGTTACTGGGGCCCCGGCTGTGTGGTTTCTTCATATTTTTGCATAAGCCGAAAAAGACCCAACAGTGTCTTTGTTAAATGAGGCTGCATCTCTGCTGGGTCGAGAGACCGTTTCTACTCAAAGGGGAAAGCAGGAATAGCTCATCCCAGCCTCATGTCTGCAGTAAATGTGCCCTCGGGACATGGGATTAATCCCAACGGCAAGGGGACGACGCGTGTGGGAAGCCACGCTGACGTCTCGGCCGCCCCGCACCGTCTGCGTCGCCCCACTCTGCCGCGGTAGGGTCCAGTGCTGTTGACAGGAATAACGAGCTCATGTCATGCAGCAGTGGAGTAGAGCTGCCAAGTGTGTCATGTTTATGACGGTTGTGCCTAGGGACCAGCCAAGAATGGGGCCCCGGTGTGCTAGGCTCTGTACGGAGTAGGAGCCAGGCCCTGCCCCAGAGAACTAAGAATCTAAATAAACCAGACAGATGGAGGGATGGGAGGGGGTAGACCCATAAGCAGAGGGAACAATGCGATGGCAGCAAACAGCATTTAGTTTCCTCACTTTTCTAGCTGGGCTTAGTTGGGGGTGGGAGGGAACTAAATGGAAGGGGGAAGCGGCAGGGCGGGGGAGAAGTGGGTACATGTTCTTCAGTTGTTAGACTGATGCCTAATGCGCAGAAGCAATGTTTTGCATGGGGGGCATTTAATGCTTGCTGGGCCTTGGGATTTAATCTTTGGAGTCTATTTAACCAATGGGACAAATACAGAGCTTGAGAATGGCGCCAGGAGGGAGGGATAGCTCAGTGGTTTGAGCAGTGGCCTGCTAAACCCAGGGTTGTGAGCTCAATCCTTGAGGGGGGCCATTTAGGGATCTGGGGCAAAAATCTGTTTGGGGATTGGTCCTGCTTTGAGCAGGGGGTGGGACTAGATGACCTCCTGAGGTCCCTTCCATCCCTGATATTCTATGAATAATGAGAAGTCCAAAATTAACACCCAAGCTGAAGGCAGCTTGGAAATGTGCATTCATCTGCTCCGTGTGACAGGCACAGCTAGGACTGCACCAAAAACCGTCTGATCAACCCCCGAAATAGCTGCCAATCTGCATGTCCGTGTGGCCACTGCCAAGGACTGTAGGGAGACTGATTTTGTGTTCTGAAATCCACGTAGAAAACGAAGGCTACAGCGCTCTCGGGATTGTTTCTGGAATCCCTGGGTTCAATTGGCAGGTAATGTATTGGGTGCATGTCTGTTTCAAAGTGGCTGCCCTACTGCCATTCAGAGTTGGGCTGCTAGCGATGGGAAAGGGAGGCCTCTGTATCTCTTATCTCGGGGGCTAGTGAGCTTTGCCTGCCTTTGCAGAGGGCATTGGGATCTACAGGTGAGAAGCACTGTACAGAGCTTATTGAAGCAACTGAGCTCCCAGGACCAGCCGTGGGCCTTCGGCAGCAGAGCCGGCCTTGCCCTGGAATGAAAGTTGGGATTAGGTCTAAGCAGAAGGGTCCAAGAGCCCTACCTGGCCTCAGCCCTGCAAGCTGGTTAGAGCAGGTGGTCAGCACGCGGCGCTGGCTCTGGTCTCCCCCACGTGTCCGGTGGGAGGCTCAGGGCAGCAGCAAGGTTCTGCGGGCCGTGGCTGCCTGAAAGCCGGGAAGGTGCCCGCAGAGTGGGTGCTTGGGCCAGCGATCCCCCTCTCGCTCCCGGCATGCAGGGCTGGGGCCCTGTTTGCTGGGAGGCTGCACTTCTCCCTCGTTACCGGAGCAGCTTTTTGTCACCTCTGTGCCATAGGAATCAGAGCTCTGGGGAGCTGGGCTCGCTTCTCCTGAGCCTGGCCTGCTTCTGCTCCAGGCTGCCTTGCTGGGTCCGAATGCCACGGGCCATTCGTGGTCACTGGCCCCAGCATTCCCAGGTCACTGCTGTGAACCTGGTGTGTGTGTCTTCTGCTGAAACGGCATCGCCTGCCCGGGAGAGGGGATCTAGTTCTTCTGTGGGAGAAGCATGATTCCCCCGCCATCCCCTAGGTCAGGGATCCAAATGGCTGCCTCCCCCAAGTCCCTGGCAGCTCTGAGTCAGCAAAGTGGAGAAGGGGGTTGTCACATGGGCTTGAGTCTGGGTAAACTGCCCTGCTCCACCTCCCAGTGAGGGAGGTGATGGGGTTTGCAGCCTTTCGCCTCCAGGCGGCCCAGGACTTGGGAGAGCCGGGCTCCATTCCCTGCTCTGACACAGACTTCCTGTGTGACCCTGGGTGAGTCACTTGGTCTTGCTCTGTGCCTCAGTTTCCCATCTGTAAAAGGGGAATCCTAGAACTTCCCTGCCTCACAGGGGTGTTGGGGCTCTCAGGTCAATGTGTTGAGGACAGGATAGGCAGAACTGAGCCATGATTTCATTAGATAAATGATCCTGTTCCCATGCACAACACATTAGGGCCTGGCAGTTCCTTTGGGTTGGCTGGTCTGGGCTCTGTATTCACACTGGCCGGTGTGCCCCCAGTCCAGGGCTGTGAATACCTGGGTTCACCGCTGTTTCATAATGCGGCTCCTGGACTTTAACCAAGCAAGGCCAGGAGCCTGAGAACAACAGACAGTATGGAAGGGTCACATGATGCAACGGCAGAAACTCTTTCCCCTGGGGGTCGCTCCGACCTCCTGCTTCCCAACTGGTGCCATTCGATTGTGGGGTGTACCTGCGAGCTGCGGTTCTTCGAGCTGAACCTCCTATTTTCTGCCCTGCTTTCAGATATTCCTGTTTCACTTCTTTGTCATCGCTGCTGCTGGCAACTCCTACCAACTTACCAGGATTGGTGTCTGTCTTTAGCATGCAGCTCATTAAATAAGATCAAACGTAGAGCCAGTCCTGGTGCCAGACCTCCCCACAACATGGTACTTTGCCATGTAGCATCTAGGGTCCCTTAGCCCGTTTTTAGTGCGCCTGACAGCGTTCTTGTCTGTTTAAAAAATACATGGAAACGAATTTGGCTTTTGAAAGTACTTTGTGTCGAGCGCTTTGCTGTAACTCAGGTACTTTGGGCTGGGGTAGGTACCTGCAGCTCCAAGGACTTCAACCTCGCTATGCCAGCCGAGGAATATTGCTCATTATCTCTACCATGCTCCTTAAATCCAGTCATTTTCTCTGAAGCATTTGTGTGTCTGGCAAGATTAATCCTCAGTGTTTTTTTTGCTCCCGGGCCTGTTCTCTTCTGGCCAGTTAGTGATTTCTCCTCTTGGTAAGATTTCCATTATTTTACTAGGGATAGAGGCAAAGGTGCCAACTTCCCCAGTTCCTGGGGGATGGTCGACCCCTGCTCCGCCCCAGGGCCCACCCCCACTCCACTTCCTGCCCCTGCTCCTCCCCCTTCTCCCCCAGTGCCTCCTGCATGCTGCTGAACAGCTGATCACAGCAGGCAGGGAGGGATGGGGAGGAGCTGATCGGTGGGGCTGCCAGTGGGTGCTAAGCACCCACAATTTTTTTTCTGTGGGTGCTCCAGCCCCGGCGCACCCACGGAGTTGGCGCCTATGGATAGAAGCTAGATCGACATGATGGTCATTGACCAGATCACTCCGTTCTACTTTCTGCGGTGTTGGTACACCCTTTCTCTCCTCTAGTCTCAGGGATTGTAATGTTGTGGGCTACAATCCAGACCAGTGAGAGGCCGTGTCACCACCTGCCCTGTGACCCTGAGTACCTTAGCGTGCTCTGCTGCTGTAACGCCCCGTCTGGCCGCTCTCTGCCAGGAGACAAGCACGCACTGTGTGATGAACAGTCCTGATTCAGCAACTTGGACTGCAGCAGCCTTCTTGTCCATTCAGCCACACTCTGGTCTCCACCAGCCTTGGTTACTACTAGCCGTGTGGCCCCAACACCCTCCTAGGCCTGAATCTCCCCCAGACCGTCTGCCCTGAAATGTCCAGCCTTCTCCTGGATCGTTCAAAAAGACAAAAGCCCGGTGGCTCATTGCTTTGACTGGAGTTAATAATCACTACACTTGCTAGTGACTAAGACTTAACAAAACTACAGTCTGGCTTCGAGGTAAGAAGCTACCACAGCTTCCAGTGAGGTGGCTGGGCCACTCCTTGGTCAGGATCTTCAACGAAGTCCAAAGTGCTCAGTTCCTTTGTCGTCTTAGGTGAAAGATCCCTCGGGGTTCTGTGCCCCTCTCTTGTGTTGTCCCGTGAACTTCTGAAATGTTCCTGTCTCAAAGTTCCTTGCCCTTGCCGTGAGGAACGGTGCCAGGGCATCTGATGGAGAAGATTCCAGGGCAGTTTCTTCCCTGCTGGTGCTTTCTACAAAGCAAACTCGTCTGTCCCTGCAGCCTCTGTTATGCCAACGACTGGCCTCACTTGTGATTGCCAATGGTCTGTGATTGCACCTGGAAGGAGCCATCAGCTTTTCCTTTGTCTGGAAAACCCTGTTTCCCCTCTCCCCAGACTTGTCTAGTTCAAATACATCATAGTCCCATATTTCCTTCACATTTGTACAGTCCTCTGGGTGTTCACCGTACGTAGACCACGCCGGACTAGTAATGACCAGTGCGGTGTTGGTTTTCCAATGAAAAAACCTGTTGTATACAGATGGCTATAAGCGAGTTGGGGGGCACTGAACTGGTCAAGCTAGCTGAAACTCACTACCGGTTACCCGCGAGCCCCTTGCCTCAGGCCCAGCAATGCTCTTAGGTTCACAGTGATCACTGCTCTGCCCCACAGATATCCCCTCGTTGGCAGTGGCTCCGCGTGTTCTCAGCTGTGCAGTTAGCTCAGGGGTTTGCATGGGTTCTACGCAGCCCCGCTGCCCTTTGCTTCCCCTTTCCCCTCCAGCTTTGCCATGTGTCTTTTTTTATCTATTGATTTAGGCTGCTCGGGGGCTCAGGGAAAATTCGCCTACAAGCTGCTCCATGACTTGTTTGCCAACTACTCCAACGCTCTGCGGCCGGTGGAGGACACGGACCGGGCGCTGAACGTGACCCTGCAGATCACCCTGTCCCAGATCATCGACA